AACAAATGTACTTTTTTAAGACGCTTTATATATATACATATATATATATATATATATATATATATATATATATATATATATATATATATATATATATATATATATAGGTTCAGGTTCATTTGACATCATTCTAATTTTGTGAGACCGTAAGACCAAATCTATAAATAATTTTAAAATGCAAAATAAATGGAAAAATCGAAAAATTCTTTTTTTAAATATTATTTTCGGAACTTGAATTAACTAAAAATAAATAAAAAAAATCCCTATTTTTTTTTTTTTGAAAAATACGTGAAATATTCTAATAGAATATTATACTGACATATTCTAAAAAATAATTTTAAAATGCAAAATAAATGGAAAAATCTAAAAATTCTTTTTTTAAATATTATTTTCGAAACTTGAATTAACTAAAAAAATAAAAATAAAATAAAAAAATAAAAGAAATCCTATTTTTTTTTTGAAAAATACGTGAAATATTCTAATAGAATATTACACTGTACATATTCTAAAAAATAATTTTAAAATGCAAAATAAATGGAAAAATCTAAATTTTTTTTTAAATATTATTTTCGGAACATGAATTAACTAAAAAAATAAAAAAATAAAAAAAAATTCCGTTTTTTTTTTTTTTTTTTTTTTTTTTTTTTTTTTTTGAAAATACGTGAAATATTCTAATAGAATATTACACTGTACATATTCTAAAAAATAATTTTAAAATGCAAAATAAATAGAAAAATCTAAAAATTCTTTTTTTAAATATTATTTTCGGAACTTGAATTAACTAAAAAAAATAAAAAAATAAAAAAATTCACGTTTTTTTTGAAAAATACGTGAAATATTCTAATAGAATATTACACTGTACATATTCTAAAAAATAATTTTAAAACGCAAAATAAATGGAAAAATCCAAAATTCTTTTTTTAAATATTATTTTCGAAACTTGAATTAACTAAAAAATATCTAAAAAAAATAAAAAATAAATAAAAAAATAAAAAAATACGTCTCACGGTCTCACCAAATATAGGTGGTTACAAATGAACCCAACCATATATATATATATATATATATATATATATATATATATATATATATATATATATATAATTTTTTTCCAGACTTTTCTTGTTTAATTGTTTACAACTGAGACCTCATTTTCATTTCCGAGGATTTTTATATTTGAAACCAACTGATTTTCCATAGTTTAGGCATGCGTTAGACTCACTTGCAGTTGTATTTTTTTTTTTCTTTTGGGACATTAATTTTAATCGGATGATTTATAGCCAGTACATGAGATTTTGTTACTTTCTTAGGGTTAGTAAATGCATCTAGCAATATGAGATTTTGTTACTTTCTTAGGGTCAGTAAATACATCTGGCAATTGATTTGTTGCATTTTATAAATCAACTATCCTTTATACTTCAAGTTCATGTTGACTTCAACGAGGATCTAGAACTTGAAGTGATAATTCATTTTAAGATATTTTATTTTCCATCTTAATGTAAGAAAAACTAATTATACAAAATGGCATTTATCGGGTGTAATTGTACATAAATCTCTAGTTGATGGTTGTAAATAGTTTACTATAGATGGGGATTCATATACAACATAAATTCTCACACTTCTGTGATGACCTATTTTTTACGGCATGGTGGAGAAATGGATATATAATTTTCACATCCAAATGTTCTTAAATTAGAAATATGTGGTTCTTGACTGCAAACCAGTCAAATAGGAGAGAACTTATGATACCTCGTTATCATGCGTATAAGTGATGATGCATGTAAAACACATGTCCCCATGCCAATGTAGGATGTTTAGAATGGATAAATAATGGTCATGGAATTAATTAAAGACTTTTAATTAACGACCTAGCTAGATCATTTTGCGTATAAGCATGTGCAATAAGATTTTCAATAGCTATCACAATCAATATGCAATAGTCATTAAAATCTTGTGATGAAAATTCCCCAACATTATCAAGTCGAATTTTCATAACTGGGTAACAAGGGGAATGTGCCCTTAGGCAGATTATTTGTGAAAGTAATATTGCAAAATCGAGATTACGACTAGTCAACAAGCAGAAGTGTGATCATCTAGTGAACACGTCAGTGAAAACCATAAAATATCTAAATGGTCCACATGGTAGATGGATTAGTCCACATATAACACTTCGATTTCTTTCTAAGAAAGTAAGAATTTCATACCCATCTTGAACTGTGAGGGACAATAATTTAATTTTCCTTAAAAGCATGCAACACAAGAAAATTCATTAGCTTGAAAAATCTTCCTGGTTTTTCAAGGAATGATCATTTAAAGTTTCAATTATTCTATGCATCATAATTGCATCGAGATGACCCAACTAGTCATGCCAAACTTTATTGGAGTTGTCACGCTTTGTGTTTTCAATAACATGAGATTCAATCATTCTAATGTTTGTATAATACAATATAGAGGACAATACGAACACATTTTCCAATAAATATTTCCTTACCCGATATCACTTTTGTAATACTGAGATATTCTTTGTTACCATCATTAGTTGTTTCAACACCGTTAGATCGAATATCCTCGAAACTTAAATAAATTTCTTGGTGATTTGGATGCAAATAATGCATCATCAGTTGTAACTATTGTTCCTTATGAAAATACTATATTCTCTCTTCCGGAGCCTTCAATCAATTTAGTATTATCCTTTATTGCATTAACATTTGTTTTAACAATTAATAAGTAATTAAAATACTTTTTATTATTAAAAATGATATGTGTTGTTGTGCTGTCCACGAGACATATATATTCCTCATTTCTCTTGCATGTCCATATTTCTCTGAAATTTATAAAAACGATAAAAAGTTGGAGCTCTATGGTAGTCATGCTGATAATGTCTTAAGAAATGTGAAACTAAAATAAAGAATAAAATACAAAATGAGATTGTAAAGATGTTTATTCAATTTCTTGTGGTAAAAGCAACAAACTTTTCCAATACATATTAGTCACTATTTATAGTAGCAAAAGAATATGAAATGTGAGCTATGTTATGAATACACTTTATAATGCTAAATAACTATGTTCATAAAGCTCATAATAATGTTTATTATAATGATCATTAATAACGAAACGAAGACATATAGGAGAATATGGGGAACCCAATGTTCATCCACCAATTAATATTCATCCATTAAAATTATATTATCTCTTGTATAATGTTTTTTATCAAAACAAAATGATCCTTGTGGTTTGTCAAAAATAAACATTTTAGTCCAAAATTTTTTAGTGTAGCACCACTAGTCCGAAAAGTAATTTTTATTGCGGTTTTTTTTAGGTTTCTTTTTTGAAAAAGTTAAAAATGACGATTATACCCTTTATATTTTATTTTTTCATTTCTTTTATTTAATTTTCAAATTTTCAATAAAAAAAATATATTTACCCCCTCACTCTTTAACAAAATGACCATATTGACTCCTCTCACCGCCACGTTCGCAACCACCACCATATTATCGGAGTCGTCAGTTTCATCGGAGCACCGCCATCTCTCCGTCATCCGCTGCCACTGTTGCAAGGAGCGACACCTTTTCACCAGATTTGGAAAGAAGAATAAGGGAAGGGGTAGAGTTTGATACATGTGAAGGGTTTGTACACATGTTTGGTAATGGTGGAGGTCTGACGACAGAGATTTGGATTTGATGATTAACACATGCCATCGATAGTGACGGTCTGACGACAAATATCTGTTAGGAACTCGCCATCACTACTGCTGTCGTTTAACACAAAACGATGATGGTGAATTTGATCATCAAAAGACCCAACAACCGATCACCAAAAACCCTTGCAACCAGTTGTAACTCGATGAACACATGGAAACCCTAGCATTAGCCGATGCAGACTTCTCCGCTGCTGCCCATTTTGCCGTCGCCGTCGCATATAAGAAACCCTAGCTCACAACTTCACATTTTCGAAAACTCTATCTCTCGCCTTTACAATTTAAGAACACGCTGACTATATTGTTCATCAAGAATTTATCGAACAAAGAATCATTAAGAAAGAGAGAGAGAGAGAGAGAGAGAGAGAGAGGTTTGTGTTTGCAGTTCGCATGGTTTCTGCAAGAAAAAGAAAAGGTCTGACGACGTTTTTAAGGGATTTTTGACGGTGCTGAAAACCGGTGAAGGTGGCTCGACAATGGTAGAGGTGGTGCTCCGACGAGATGGTGGTCGCTTTGGCAAGATGGCGGTACAGGCGAGATGGTGGTAGCTTCGACAAACAAAGAAGAGAGATGGAGTCATTTTGTGTGTTGTAAGAGGTTTGTGGAGTGGGGTGGGGTGGGGTGGGGTAGGGTAATTAGTGTGGCAAAGTGTTAGATTTTGTTTCCCTTTAACTCAGAAAAAGGTAAGTGACTTTAAAAAAAAATTATTATCTTAAATATTGTCAAAGAAAAGTTGGACCACAATTCTAAATAAATAAAAATATTATGTTGGACTCCGGCGCTAGTCAAACCTTTTAAACCAAAATGATAATTTTGTCTTTATTTCTATGTGCATCGCATTATCTTAATTTTATTTCATTTTATTATAATGTCGTCCTTTTAATTGTGTAGGACCTGTAAAGTATATAATTGCAATATAATAAAATAAAAATATAACATTAGTAACAAATAAATCGAAAATACATGTTTTATTTCATTATCCCTTTTATACATCATCATCTTTCACAAATACGTTTGGATCAATCATGTTTATAAACAATTAACATATTAAAATTAACAACAATTATTTACTTCCAAATAATAATATCATCACAATTCACAAAGCAAATTGCTAGACTGAATTTGCTATCAATATTGTCCAGTTGATTATCCATGGATGTAAAGAAGACAAAAATCACTTGAAAAATATATAGATTAGCTTCATATGTGAATATCAAAAGTTAATTATTCCAAATTTAATCACCGTGTGAACGAAATTTCATTGCAGATACAGTAATCTATCTATATCTGATGAACAATCAGATTACGAAACCCTAAGGGAAGAAGAAGAAGAAGAAGAACAGCGTAAATCATGATCTTCAATTCCCTTAATTGATCCACGAATTGCAAAACGAGAAGAAGATTTCATAGAAGAAGGATTGACTTGCATGAACAGATAATTACCAGCAAACAAATCGCCGAAATGTGATTGGCTGTCTTTGAGCCTCTTCACAACCTTCGCCATTGAAAGCATCACAACTCGAGCTCTTCTCCTCATGAACTTCCTCAAGCTTGGGATCTTCATCTTTTTCGATTTCTTCCTCAATGGCACTCTCTTCAACCTCGAAGACCATTGGATTCTGGCCTTCACGTGAGCAATCGCTCTCTTCATTTCTTTTAGGTATTCATAATTCTCGTCTCCACTGCCTTCGTTCCTCAGCCTCTGGTATGAAAATCCGGTCGCCGGAGCCATTTTGATTCCGATGAAAGAGATAGTGAGATGGTTAATCGACACAGTTGGGTGTTTATATGGAGAAAGCGGAAGGTGTTGGTAGCATTGAATGCCAGTGTGAGGTGGTAGATGGTGAGATGATCTAAAAATAACGTGTAAAGAGAGTACTTTTATTAACTTCAAGTATACAAAATAAACACCATATTTTTTATTATTTTATGTACTACTTTTTTTTTTTTTTTTTTTTTTTTTTTTTTTTTTTTTCTAAATTAGATAACGATTTATTATTCTTTATTAATTTATGTAAAAAATTACAGGGTAAACAAATAATAGGTTATGTAAAATCGTAAAAATAGTTAATTTTTTTTATGTTAAATGGTTATATTCAACATAAAATAATAAAAATATGGGATTGATCTAGTTGTTAAGAAAAAGGGACAACTTTTTCGAACTTTGTTTAGGGCTGACACGTTATCTTTTTGATAGCTCTTTTATCACATAAAATTCATAAAAATTTCATTTAAATTTCTTCTATTTTTTTCATTTCATATGAAAATCTATATATTTTTTTTTTATTTCTTCCAACCTATTTAATATTTTTATTTTATTATTTAAATTAAACTTTTATTATTAATAAAACTAGAAAATTAAAAACAAAATAAAACGTAATATTTTTAAATTATCAATCCCAAAATATCCATTTTTCTCTCCTTAGTTTTCTATCTTTATGTGGAGCTTTGAACCATTTCATTTTGTTTGCTATTGGATGTTGATATGACTTCACAAATACAACCAAGTTTGATACATTTTATTGTCAAGATGTTGTTCCATGACATTTCTCATCAAACATTGGTGATTGGTAGATGGTGTTTAGATCATTGTACAGGCTACACCATAGAGTGCATGTTAAAACCAAAAATCTTGTGACGCCACCACCTTTAGTATCATTGTTAGATACTCATGATCACTCCTCATGTTTGGCATCTCAATTTCATTGGAAAATTCTTCTCATTTCAATGTGTGCAATCAATGCTACCAATCATTCCAAGGAATCCATGTCTGGCTTCTTACAAAAGTTGAATTTTAGTGAATTTTGGATGGAATGGATATTCATGCATATATAGTTGGATAACACCATAGCATAAGTTTTGGAGACTTTCACGTGAATTTCTTTCTGGCATATTCAGATACTCATCTATCGAGTCTGAGTTTCTTTCGTACACCATTTGACGTATTAATGTGGTGTATTTTTGCAGTACACTAAAACTTCTTTATGTATTGTATCCTATGTTGTTTGAAAAAAAAAGGATAATTAATCTGCAAGGCACCAATAAAACACAAACAATGTAACACCTCAAATTTTAGGCCTGATTTTTAATTTACCAAATATTAAGGTTCCAAAAGCCAAGTTATCAAATACATAAGTATCCAAAACAACTAGTATCACAAAATGTTAAAGTTCACAACTGTCCCAGTAGCAAATCTCCCAGCGAGTGTGTACAATTAGACATTCGCCTTCCTGCGGTCCTCAGAAGTACCTGCCACATCCAAATCAACAACTGTAAGCCCGAAGCTTAATGAGTTCCCCCAAGATACCACATACATCACATCATAAATAAAAAGTTATGGGTTATTAGCAACCATGTGGACTATCATCTGTCCTAATGGGCTAACAACACACCCTGTGGGTTATCAGCAACCCTGGAGACTATATGTGACAACCCGAAGTTTGTTCCGTCATCGTAACCCGTTCCGTCATTAAAAATTCTTCGTCTTGAATTATTTCCGTTTCGTTTCTAAATTTAAGTCATTAATTTTGAGTTTGCCATTATGACTTAATTAGTATCCAAAAACGTTAGAAACTTATGAAAATGCCCCAAATTATTATTTGGAAAAATTTTAGTTTTATTCCGTCGAGTTGTAAAATAATTAAATCGGGTACGACCAAAAGCCTCGCTTAACGTCAGTATCGGGTAGAATTCCGCCGTATCCCAAACTTTAAGCATATATAAAGTTGAGAGAACCTCATTTGAAGCCTTTCCACTCTCTCTTTACTTTCTCTCTCTACTCTCTCTCTAAAACTCGAAATTGAGCCAAAATCATCCAAAACAAGCCTCAAATCATCAAGGTAACTATGCTAGCTCCTAGTATAACACCTTTGGCCTTCAAATTCGTGATTTATATGAGGAATTGGACCAAAAACATGTGTTTACGGTCCTGGAGCATCCTTAGGCCGTGAACACATGTAAATGGGGTTTTTGAGCCATAAAACCCTTCCACACCTCATTTGGAGCTTAGATATGACCTAAGGACTTATTTGCATGGACTTAGAACACCTTAAACTCATCATTTAGGGTACAAAATTGAGTTTACGGCCCAAGCACATGCTTGGACCGTAAACACCTAATCATGGGGAGTAAACTCATTTTAAGGTGTTAGTTTGCCCCCAAACACCTCCAAAAAGCTTCCATAAGAGTATAGAACCTTATAATCCTTCAAGAAATGCACCAAATCATACACAAAAGAGTCAAACTTGAGTTTATGGTCCAAGAACATTCTTAGACCGTAAACACACATCATTGGACCATAAACTTCTCTAATGGGTGTTAAAGTGCCCATTAACACCTTGTTTGGCTTAGAAATGAGTCTAGAAGCAACCACAATCAAGTTAAAGGCCTTAAAACATGCTAAAACTACCCCCATAGGAGTTTACGGCCATAAACCCCCCAAGAATGGGTTCTTAGGCTGTAAACTCCTAAATCATGGTCAAATGGTACCTTAAACTCATTCCATGGCTTGTAGAATTAGCTAGAAACACTTGTAAGGACCTAGGACCACCAAAACATCAAAGGAATGTGTGTGGGGGAGTTTACGGCTGTAAACTCTTAGTTTACTGCCGTAAACTCCATTAGATGGTCCATATGTTGGTTTAATCTATTCCTTTACCCTACAATTGATCCTAGCTAATTTTCCCAAGTGATATAAGACCATTTGGGCGATCTTTTTATGCACGCTCATCTTTCAACGAGATCTACGACTTTTGTTTAGATACTTTAAGGCTAAAATGTATTTTATTGAGATTCCACTTTTTACGTCAAATTATGTTTTAACGTCGTGTCGTAATTATACGAGTGGTTATAATTTCTTCAATATAACTCGGTTTTGAGTGTTCTTTATGTTTTTGGAAACCTGGGCATGATATCTAATATTCGATGCATCCCAACTTAGATACCTGAACACTTTATTTTCGAGGTTAATTTCGTTGTTTTTAGCTTTCGAATGTTTACAATGCTTTTGGGAAAAATAGGGTTGTCACATCATCCCCCTGTTACGGGAATTTCGTCCCGAAATTTAATCTAAGATAGATATTACAAATTAGAAAAAGATGCGGGTACTTTTGTTTCATTTGATCCTCTCGTTCCCAGGTGTATTCAGGTCCTCGCTTGGCGTTCCAGCGGACCTTTACGATAGGTATGCGGCTTTGTTTAGTCCTTTTGACTTCCCGATCCATGATCTCTACCGGTTCCTCTACAAATTGGAGGTTTTCGTTTATTGCAATTTCGTCTAGAGGGACGACAAGGGTCTCGTCGGATAAGCATTTCTTTAGGTTTGATACATGAAAGGTAGGGTGTACGTTGTGGAGTTCCTGAGGTAGTCTAAGTTTGTAAGCCACTGGACCGATCCTCGCAAGGATCTCGAATGGTCCGATGTATCTGGGGTTCAGTTTCCCACGTTTTCCGAAGCGTATCAATCCTTTCCAAGGCGAGACTTTTAGTAGGACACGGTCTCCAACTTGGAATTCCAAGGGTTTTCGTCTCTTATCTGCATAACTCTTTTGTCTATCCCTTGATGCCTTTAGACGTTCTCGGATTTGAACAATCTTCTCCGTAGTTTCCCGTATGATTTCTGGCCCAGTAAGTGTGTTGTCAGTTGCTTGTCCTTTTGCTAGTTGGGTGTCTCCCACTTCGGCCCAGCATAAAGGTGACCTGCACTTGCGGCCATAGAGGGCTTCGAACGGGGCAGCTTTGATACTGGTGTGGTAGCTATTGTTGTACGAGAACTCGACCAAGGGTAGATGTGTGTCCCATGCTTTGCCGAAATCGATTACGCAGGCTCTCAGCATGTCTTCTAGGGTTTGTATGGTTCTCTCGCTCTGGCCGTCGGTTTGAGGGTGATAGGCGGTACTCATGTCTAGTCTTGTCCCCAAAGCTCTTTGTAGCGACTGCCAGAATCTTGAGGTGAATCTACTATCTCGGTCCGAGATAATGGATACGGGCACACCGTGCAGTCGTACAATTTCCCTGAGGTACGTCCTTGTTAACTTCTCCAATTTATCCGTCTCTTTGATCGGTAGGAAATGCGCTGATTTAGTTAACCTGTCGACAATTACCCAAATGGTGTCGAGTCCGTTTGTCGTTTTGGGTAACTTGGTTATGAAATCCATAGTTATCCGCTCCCACTTCCATTCGGGTATTTCTGGTTGTTGTAATAAACCTGAAGGCTTTTGGTATTCTATTTTGACCTTAGCGCACGTCAGACATTTACTCACGTAGGTAGCAATTTCGGCTTTCATGTTCGGCCACCAGTACAACTTCTTGAGGTCGAGATACATCTTGTCGGAGCCGGGATGTATGGAGTATCGTGTTTTATGGGCTTCGTCCATGACGATTTCTCTGAATCCACCAAACTTTGGTGTCCATATTCGATCCATGAAATAACGAACTCCGTCGTTCTTGGTTTCAAGATTCTTATCCATTCCCCTTAGGGTTTCTCCTGCCACATTTTCAGATTTCAAGGCTTCTATTTGGGCTTCCTTGATTTGCGTGGACAGGTGGGAATGGATCGTCATAGTTAGGGACTTCACTCGGCGACCTGAGTATTCCTTCCTACTGAGTGCATCCGCCACTACATTAGCCTTTCCGGGGTGATATCGAATTTCGCATTCGTAATCACTTAGTAGCTCTACCCACCGTCTTTGTCTCATGTTGAGTTCTTTCTGGTTGAGAATATGTTGAAGGCTT